TTTAGCACTTTCATCATTTGTGTGAGGTCATGTGTATACCTACCTGAACATTGAAACAAAGTCTGACTGAAAACAATTGGAAAAATGATCCTTTGTCATGCTAAAAGGAAGATAAAGCACATGATTTTAACAGCAAAGTAACTTAATCAATGGAACAAGTGATTTTCCATCATGAGAATCTGTACAGTCAAGACATGGCGGTCCAAGTGAGTTGGTGGTTACAGTGTGTGAAATAGGGATTAATACAGGGAAGTGCCGTAACTTATGTTATACAGGACCTCAGAGTTCATGACTACTGTGTTCTTTTCTGGCATTAAAAGTTTTTGTATTGGGGATAAACTCAAGCCTCTCATTAGAAAGGCAGAGAAGCTTGGATTGTGGGCAGAGGAATTAGCAATGTACATGTGAGTTTTAATTCTGAGAAATCTAGTGAAAGTAAATCTTAACATGGGTGAATTTCCCCCTCTACTCCCAGCTCAGCAAGCCACGTTAAGTATGTTACTTTGAAGACTGACTGTAGGAGCTGGGGGTGAAGGGAGAAACGCATCTATATTGTTATTGCATCCCAGTTTGGTAGCTGCATGAGGTTATTGTTCCAATCCACAGATTCAATCCAGTGCATCCTGGTCAGAAATACGGAGGCATTTAATTTCATGTAGCATATAAATCCTTGGCTGAGCTGCAGTCTTTGAGAAAGACATATCAAATCATGATCTTTCTAACTATGTTGCATTGGTCCTGTATCACCGGGTGATTTATATTAGATGATTTTTTTTCCTCAGTTCCTGTGCTCCTCTGTGAGCGGAAGGTGCTGAATGTGTACAGCAAGAGCTATTTAAAGGTGCCCGGTAAGGTAGGGGGTGGGTGGGATGTGGTAGGGATATAAAAGATTGTGCAGCGATCTGAAGTCAGAGTCCACTGGACAGTATGTCTGTGTGGGCAGAGACTTTTGGTGTCCATGGAGAAAGCCTGAAGTTTCAATTCTCCTCTTACGAATGTTGCACAACTTGTACTGCTACCGAACTAAGCCCAGAGGTTTACCCTACCTTAGCCCTGTGCCATAGACCTCAGGCAATCGCTGTCGTTGTCTGATGTAACCAATTTCTCTGTATCATAGAGAGCTTGAAGATTCATTGGCCTGTGAATAAAAATATGGCCTGGTCCATGACAGTTATCAGGAGAGGGAATACGTCAATATGGAGGTCTCTGGGGCACGGCACCTCATGTTTGTGTAAGAAGAATGTAGGCAGTGATATATAGCAGCTATATAAGTAGCAGCACATATTCCTTGACAAATTAAGAAACTTAGTGAATAGGATGTCTTTCTCAGGAGAGTGCTCTCTTCTGTTCCCTTCTCCCAGTTCCTCAAACTGCAGGAGCCCTTTTAACTCCACTACTGTAGCCTTTTTCAGGCACTGAGAAGTCTAAGTCCCAATATCAATACTTGCTTTTTATTCTGCTGTTTAGGGAGTGTTTCTGTCTGTCTGGATCCACTTCCTCAAGCCAGATAAGGGTGTGCTTTCATGCTATATTATACATGTTCTAAATGAACTATGTCCAAAAGCAAATTCAAAGCTATGTGGTACAGATCACAAATACTGGGACAGAGAAAACTGCTATCTGGGAACTGCTGCAAATGTCCTTTACTAAAGAAAAAATAATAATTAGAAAGGACCTGAGACAAGGTGTCATTGTACCTTCAAGCACAGAAGGCTCTATTCAAGGAAAAAGATGTTTCAAAGTACTTTCCCCAAACTAAACAAAGGCAGGTTTTCCACTTTTAAATGCCCAAGATGATGGGAAGGCTAGATGATATAGGTTTTAGAGCATAGTAATGGACAACACCGTCTCTAAGGTGGAAATAAAAGTCAAATAACCTGTCTTAAGCTGATACGAGCAGAGGGAGAGACGGAAGGATGGGACTAAATTACTGGAAGAACTGCCGAGTGCAGAGCTAACAGCAAGTGTTTTAACCAAACTTACCAAGTTGGAGATTTACCTAATGATAGTAGAACAGCATGTGAATACTTATATTTAAGAAAGGGGAAAATGCGTTTCAGCTAGTTACAGACTTTTTAATGTATCCCTGTAGTAAGAGTTGAGGATATATTCTGAAGGAAAGGGTAATTAAATGTATGGAAGATGATGGAAAATGAGATAAAAGGCAATTTACTAAATTTAAGTCATGCCAAACTAATCTGATACAACACTGATAAAGGAAATACATTTTCTTTGTCTAAAAATATATAGAAGACTTATTAAGGCATTTAGAGTGGTGCTACCTGGAAACCATTACTCAAATTGGAGATGGGGGGATTAATACGGGGACCTAACACATAGGATGTACTGCAATGGAGGAGGAAGAGGTGCTAGACTTCTTCCAGGCCTGACTTTAGAATTCTCTTTTCAATATTTTCATGACTAATTTTCATTAATTTTCATGAATAATCAATGATTTTCATTGATCTCCTAAAAAATAGGAGTAAGTGAGGTTAAAAAAGAGAAGAGTAGAAGTGGCAAAGGTGAGCAGACTATATCCCAGAGCTGGGGTTGCCCATCTCTGGCTGCCAAGCTTGGTATCCAGCAGGTTCATTAGTTGTAAGTGACAAAAGAGGGGGAGAAGACGACCTGGACTATCAGTCCATCGAAGGATCACTGAATGCTACCAAAGTAACAAAAATAATGTAAAAGTAAATGTGATTTGAGGACACATCGGGTATTTCCAGAGAGAAAGCCAAAACAATTGCTATAGTTCAAAATAGGCTGGAAGGACAGCATTCTGGATGTATGGATCATTGAATTACAGTTCTTGTATGATCTTGCACATTTAAAATACATTAAATCCATTGGAAACTTGTACAGAGACAGAGGCAGTGCAGATGATGAGAAGAATATAGAGTTTTCAGTTTCCTTTCATAAAATAAAACCTATCTTACTTAGCCTAGCTCACAAAGACACTGGAATATGACCATCCCTTCAAAGGAAGGGAGAAAAACCTTCCTATAGGAGGAGCGTGATCAAAAAATCTAACAGGAATCTGAAGAGTACCTGACTGGGATTATGTCCCAAGTGCTTATGCTTGCAGGATGATTCTAGGGTATGTATCCAGCCTGCTACTAGAATCAGACAAAATGGGACTTGGCCACTGGACAGAGTATGGGAAGCGGGTGGGGATCGAAGCACCAAAGCAGTGCAGTTTATCATAGGATGCTGTAGCTAATGCAGTTAATCTGTGCTTCAGCTTCACCTTCTCAATCACTTTCAACTCTTCAACCCTGTTCATGCCTTCTCGTTTCACACCTAAGGATGTATTTAGCATGTCTAAATCCCATGGACTCTGCAACACCGTACACAGTGCATAAATTAAGCATGTTTGTTTATAAATCTTTGCATGATCAAGGCGTTAGTGCCCTACTTTAGAGATAATTTTTATTTTATTTTGATCACTTGGACAAGAATGTGTTAAGCATTAACCCTTAACAGACTTTCCTTGAGAGAGAGAGAGAGAGAGAGAGGTTGCTTTTTTAATTTGAGCTAATCCACAAATATACTGAAATGAGGAATCTTTCAAAACCAAATTCCAGTGGTCTCTTCCTTTTCGATTTCCTGAACAGGCGGATGTTCCCTGTCTTAAAGATCAGTGTATCGGGCTTGGACCCAAATGCCATGTATTCCTTCCTGTTGGACTTTGCCCCAACTGATGGCCACCGCTGGAAGTACGTCAATGGAGAATGGGTGCCAGCTGGGAAACCCGAACCACCGAACCACAGCTGTGTCTACATCCACCCAGATTCTCCCAACTTTGGGGCCCATTGGATGAAGGCTGCTATTTCCTTCAGCAAAGTCAAACTTACCAACAAGCTCAATGGGAGCGGGCAGGTATGGCCTCATGTTTCCCCATGCACCTCTTGGCTTCAATTGCAAGGACCTACCAATCAAGAAATATCAAGGGTGCATTTATGTAATTATAGAGGCCCTTACGAGCCTCTTCACCCACAGATGCCAATTATTCTCTGGAGGCCAAATGTAAACAGGAATAAACAGGCCTTAATTGGCGCTTTCAGATTTTAATGGACTTCTTGATGTTAAGAGAGACAGAGTGCTGTGGTTTACTTAATCATCAGGGGGCTTTTCAGAGTTGGTCTTGTGTGCTGGGGTTTTTTACATAGGACTTCAGAGAAGGGGGAAAAAATGGTCATGGGTATTAGGTTTTTGTTGTGTTCCCCCATGTTGTTTGGTGTAAGTGGAATGTTGGCAGGAGTCAGATAGCAGAATAAAAGGCTGCTCCTAAATGAAATAATTACTATGTCTGCTTCTGCATCATGATAATTATCAATATTCTATTGAATCAGCTTTGGCCTTTGGAAAGAAACCACATGTACCAGAAATAAGTGACTTTCTCTTTGAACCCCTTAAAAATGCAAACAGGAAAATTAGTTTTGTTTCGTCTTTTATTTTTGATGATGCATCTGAAGGTAAAATATTGCACAAGATCTTTTGTTTGCTCGTTTGTTTTGTACAAAACTCCTACACTGGATGATACTTGTCAGTCCAGAATCAATTTCTTTCACGTAAATATATGTTCTCTACCCATTATTTCTATTAGGTTTGTGAGGTACCTACATAAGCCTAGTACTCTCATTAGGTAGGAAATTATCTCCATTTTTACAGACTGGAGAACAGAACAGAAAGATGACCTGACTTTTTCTAAGGTCACACATGGAAGCAGCACATAAGAGCTGTTGTGGAGCATAAAACAGGATCTGAATTTGCCAAGTACTGGTCCTGCATCCAGGACCTCAGGAGAGTATTCACTGGGGAAAGGGAGGAGAAGCTACAGAAAACCAACCTGGAGGGTCAAACAGACCCTAGGAAAAACTAAGGGAGCCACATGTGTATATATATAGTAAAGTGTGGAGGAAGAAAGTAGAAAGCAAGAGAGGAAAAACTAAAGAGGAGACAAACCAAGCAAAAGTCACTAAGTGGTGAAAGACTGGAGCTCTCCTTGTTTTCTTTTGAAATGTAGACAATAGCGTCAAGGTAAATGGTATCCCTGCTCTGTGCTTCAGCTTCCCCTCCTGTGCTGCTGTTAAAAAGTAATAGCTGACTAACAGTGCTAACATATAACAGCTGTGTTATCTGCGCTTCTGGAATAAATAACATACACAGCACTTTCCAAAATACAGATATTTTTAAACATCTCTTTCTCACAGTAGGGAGAATGAAGCAATGTAATTGCCTTCCTGAGGAAGGAGTGGTGTAGAATCAGCACTGTTCAGTGTTTAATGCCAGGTTACAGAAATGTCTGCCAAGACTTCTTTATGGGCACTTCATCGTGCCCAGAAAGATTGGCTAGGTGACTGCTCTAGTTCCCTCTTGGCCGTGTTTCCTGTGATGGTTGTTCTGAATCCTTCCGATAGAAATAGGACGTGTATTGTTCCTTAACTGTTTGAACAGCCTCTACAGCAGCAGAAGCCCAGTGGTTTGAGTCCCTGAGCTGTTAATGCAAATATTCGCTGCTGCTGCTGTATCAAAAGCTTTAAATCCAAGCCCAGTGAAGTCTCACCCAGTTCAGCCCTGTGGCTCATCAGAAGGGAGGAAGGTATCTGCCCTCCTGCTCTCATTAACCCCAAACTGGGGAGTTTAAGCAGTGACATTTGGTCTATTATAGAGCCAGAGGGGAAAGAGCAGCTATGGGATTCCAGAATAGTATTGGGGTCTGTCTGTTTTGTTTTGTTTTCTGCAGATAATGTTGAACTCCCTGCATAAGTATGAGCCTCAGGTACACATAGTTCGTGTAGGAGGTCCCCACCGGATGGTGATGAACTGTTCCTTCCCTGAGACTCAGTTCATAGCCGTGACTGCCTATCAAAATGAAGAGGTAGGCGGGTGCCATGCTGTGCTCTTGGTCATCACTGATGAGATATATCAAAAGCGTATTAACTACAAGATAAGCATGTGCCAACAGGCAGACCAGTCCTTATCTTGTTTCCCCATTAGTCCTGCAGCGTAATGCTCTATCCGGTCTAATGCTCTCTTGTCTTTCTGGAGTGGAGCATTATTTAAGCCAGTGTCCAATTGCAATAGTAAGCCAGATTTAGTTTAAATATCCTGCCGCTGCTCCACTGGTCCATCTGTCCTGGCATCCCAACCCCTTACTGAAAGAAACCTACAGTCAAGACCAGTATTTCTATAATTCATACAATTGCAGAATAGTACATCATTCCAGGGGAAAACTTTTGCACAACATCAAAATTGTAATAGAGGGATGCTTTGGAGTTTGACCATTGCTAACTGTCATCTCCCATCTCTTAGCTGTTGTTCCTGTAGATTTGATTTGTATTCGCAAGAAACTCTGCTCATAAGCTGTCTTGAAAGGATCCATCATGCCACAGAGTTTGCCAGACTAGACCACGCCATTAGGCTGCCCCTGTTGGTGTTCTGCCTGTGGCACCAATCAATGTACAGTGCCCTGCAAAGAACAAAGCTCCCTTACAACTAGCCCTGGATAACGTAATGTGTGGGGATATATTTTGTTTGGCTAACGAGACACTGCCACTTAGTGTTCTCTGGAGGATGTTTTGTCAAGTCTCTATTCCAAATTGTCTTCACTAACATGCCTTGTTTTTTGCAAACTCAAGATAACAGCTCTCAAAATCAAGTATAATCCCTTTGCCAAAGCCTTCCTGGATGCGAAGGAAAGGTGAGTTCAGCTTCTTTTTTGCTCTGGTAGTATTTTGCTGCTGATATGGTTAAAACTATGGCAGCACAGTGTAAAAGATCAATGACATAACTTAATCTCATTTCTGCTATGTTAAATCCAGAGTCACTCCACTGAAATTAGTGGGGAGGCTCTCTATATAACTTACCACAATGAGGTTTGAAGTGGGTGAGTGTTCTCTGGAGGATCCTATGACTTGGTACTATCTACACAGAAAGCCTGAAATGAGGTGGTGTGAATTTCCCCAGTAATGTTATACTTCACCTATGTTCACTACACTGTATTTACATTCCAATTAATCCCATGATTCGATTGCTCAGGGAGAATAAATGGTAATTGCAGATGTCAGAAAGCAGAAAAGCAGAACTGAAGTGAAAGTGCACTGTAACTGTAATGTAACTACACTGCTATTATTAAGCTTGTATGAGGATGTGTGATGTGTTTATTAAAAGTAATTCCGTAGGAGATCACTATATAAGATGTCAGAGATGCTTCTGTCATCAGAAACAAATTGTTGTTTAATTATCTTTCAAAGTTTTACTTGCATCATCCACTCTAATACAGTGTGGCTATTCTATCTCCCTGATCTAGTAGCTGAACCGGCCATGGGACCATGTGGAGGCTTATGAGCGTAGTTTAGCCTTCAAAAAGGGGCTATCCAAATTATGGATTCCAGTCTGTAATTGCAAATAAACTTTGTCTGGACCAGCTCAATTTTCTGCCACGCGAGGTTCCCCGAATGCCTGCGGGAGAACCTGTGTCTCTTACCAGTCTCCTGATAGCTAAGGACGCTGCTGAGTCTCAGCCCAAGGGTTGCCGGCTGGAGAAGGGGAGCACTGCCTTGGCACTGGCTGCGCGGGAGGCAGAGTCCTGCTTTGCTGCGAGTGGGGCTGGGGCTGGTAACGCGAGCAGGAAAGGTGCCCACCAGTAGATGTAGAATTCCAGGTTCAGCCCCAAATTCAGCACAAACTTAGGAATGTTTCTTTTGTGCATCCTGAAACATAAGTTCCTGCTTCCTTTATGGCAGAGTGCAGAAATATCTACTGCTGCCTAGCAAGTGGTTATATAGGGTGGAAGTTCCTCCTTTTTGACTTAATCTTCTATTTAAATTTTTTAGTGAATAGTTTTCAGTTTTTGACTTACTTTCCTAATTTCTCAATGAGAAGACTTACCACTGAATATTTCCCTTTCAGAAACCATCCAAAAGATGCTCCAGAAACAGTCTCTGAAGGTCAACATATGGCATATTCTCACTGTAAGGTTTTTATTCATGCAAGCTGGAAATGCTGTATGGTATGACTGGCGCTGGGAACCTGGGACTTGCTTAACTGATTCAGACCAGTGCTTCGTTTTGTCCTGAATCCTGTTGATGAAAGGGACCCTTAAAAGAAATGATTAAGGAAACCTCACAGTAGGAAATCATGTGACAGTTTCCCCAGAGGGATCATTTTCTTTATAATCCAGTTTTTTGGTACTAGATAGAATCCAGAAACAAGTTGATGAATGGCATTTCTATGGTTTTCCCCTCCTTTTTTTTGTATTTATAATTGTGAATATTTTTTTTCACCTATAAAATTAACTTTCACTGGTGAACAGCTCAGAAAAAAAGAGGGGAGAGCAGAGGTTATGTTCATTCTAATGAGGGTCAGTTCTTTGTTCATTCATTCTTTGGCATTGTGATTGTTTGTTTCCACGTCTTGTTTTAGGGCTGGCTTTTTTGCCTATCAGTTGTTCCATTAAACCAGTGCCTTAGAATCTGCCTGGCATTTCCGAGGCACAGCTGATTCGGCAGGAAACCTGGTTACTTCCTTTACTCTACTGCACTGTTTTAGTGCTATAATAGTTTTGTTCTCTTTCTCCTCAAAGTAGGTGGCTGGCTGATTTCCAACCCAGACACAATGTGTGCATCAGGAAGCTCTAACTATCAGTACACTGGTCCTTTGCCTCTGCCAGCTCCGCACGCTCCCCACAGCTGTGAGCGATATTCCGCACTCAGAGGACATCGGGCTGCTCCATACCCACCTTCATACGTGCAGAGAAATCACTCGCCTACAGGTACAACTGTAATTTTTCTTTGCTTCCAGGGAACAGACGCAATCGGCTTGACTGACCCTTGTTTTATGTTGGCATAAGCAGTAAGACAAACAAGAGCTGAAACTGGGAAAGAACATGAGCCTCTTTGTAACAGTCTGCACTGAACTCTGCAAGCACAAAGTATGTTTAAGGCAGCAAACACGGAAGACAAAAGGTACAAAGAGATAGGTATGAGACATAGGTGCATTGCAACTGTTAGTTATAGATGAGAGTGAATGATCTTGCTTAAATTACAGCTCCTCATTACACAAAAATATCAGAACATTGAAGGCCTGCTTCTAAGGTCACGTCATGAAGCAGTTGCTCTCTTATGTCAAAGCAGACCTTAGGAACCTGGTAGGAGCTGACTTGCAGTGATGGTGTTTTGGTATTGCCAGAATGTCTTCTGAGTCCCTTCAACACTCTAGATCTGGATGTGGAGTTCCGGCAACCGATTTGACTTTGGTAGGAGGAAATTGGCAGGAAACAAGAAGGAGGATCGAGTAATTTGTTCTCTAATTGTAATTTAGTAAGGCATCCTGTTTAACTGAAATATTTAAGCTCAAACTATAAGGAAACCTGTATCAAAACACTGTCAGTCATATGTCAGTCGTTAATCAAAGACTATTAGTCAGACTTTTTCTAAAATGCATATTCTATGTCTGTCACGCTGTATCTTCTCACATATCGCATCCGGAATTACAATGGCACTTTGCTACTCCTTTATTAAAGAAGATAATTTTGTCCTCTTACCTATGGTTGGGAACCTGTCAGCTGATAAGATTGCTTCCTCAGACCTGCCCGTTTTCTGTTGCCCTAAGACAATGTCTCTGCGATAGTCACTAAGGATTTGTATTTCTCCCCCAAAGTGAATTTGTTGGAGAGCTCCAGCAATAATCTTCAGGTATTCCCAGGACATGACAGCTGGACTTTGCCATCCTCTCCACATGCTAATTTGCTCTCAGTGCCACACACCAAGGGAACTGCCAGCCCTGGGCCCAGGTAAGGTTACAGGAAAATTACTGGTAATAGGAGCAGTGAAGCTTGTAGGCATGAACAAAGACTTATGACAATCCAGATTTCGCAACCAGTTCTATATCTGCTATTGACCTGGTGCATAGTCTTCCTTAGGCAGCTCACTTTGTCACTGCAATTTCCAATCTGTAAAAAGGGGATGGGGCTATTTACCTGAAGTGCCTGCTTGCTAGTAACGTTCATCTGTGTTACAAAAATGTGAAGCCTATAGAAGTATTAGTTGCTAGTACGTACACCCACTTGCGGATATCCCTCCAGTCTGCTCTCCAGTGTAGAATAGCTCAAGAAAGGAAGCCTTCCAGAGGTCTTTGAAAGTAATATTTTTGCACAGAAGTCAGCTTGACTATTGTACTTTTTACCTTTTTTATTGTGCTTATTAATATGCATACTGCACTTGCAGCGTATGGAATGGTTCATCAGAACTGTGCTCTGGAAAATGATGAGGATAGTAAATCACAGAATCACAGAATGGTTGAGGTTGGAAGGGACCTCTGGAGATCATCTAGTCCAACCTCCCTGCTCAAGCAGGGTCACCTAGAGCATATTGCCCAGGATCACATCCAGACGGGTTTTGAATATCTCCAGCGAAGGAGACTCCACTACCTCTCTGGGCAACCTGTTCCAGTGCTCAGTCACCCTCACAGTGAAGAAGTTTTTCCTCAGGTTCAGATGGAACTTCCTGTGTTTCAGTTTGTGCCCGTTGCCTCTTGTCCTGTTGCTGGGCACCACGGAGAAGAGGCTGGACTCATCCTCTTGACACTCCCCCAATGACTTTTTAGGAATCAAAAAGGAATTATTTTGTACTGCTAAAAGATGCAATAAGAACTTGATCTAAGGACAAGAAACAGATGAAGATGTGGTGTAGGAATGAGAGTTAGGATGCCGGAGCTCTCTTTCCAGCCCTGGAATAGAAAGTTTATCTAATATTGAAAGCTAGGGCTGGCAAATAGGATTTTTGTGGCTATTCCTAGCTTTGTCACCAGAGTCGTTTCACTCAGGAATGGATTTCCGGGTGAGATTAGAGGAATTTAAGCTCACTTCATCCAACCTGGCTACCTAGGAGTCTCCAACTCCTTTGCCACAGCACAGAAAACTCATTTTCTTGGCACAATGCCACAGTTTCTCTTCAGCTGCTCAGTCCCATGCAGCATAGGCAGGGAGCCACAGTGAAGATGCAGCACCATAAGGAGAGTGAGAGGGTGGGGACACCTGAGCAGGCTTCCTCATATCTGCAACCCCATGTTTCATATCCATTCATATCAAGTAATCCAAACCAGAAATAGGCTCTTCTCTCACGGCCTGATGTGGATGAGTGGGAGAGGCCTCTGTACCCATTCACATCTGGGCTGCACCTGCTCTTGTGATTTACACTTATTTCCAAGCTTAATAGGCATCCATAATTTAATATGTGCCCTAAGTGCCCAATCTGAGATTCCTGGACAGATCTTTCAGAGAAGATAATCATCTGCTCCAGCTGAAATAAATGGGAGCTTTACTTTTCCATAGCGCTTCTGAAAATCAGGATCTTGGCATAGCCACAAAGAGCTTGGGTATCTAAAATTAGTGGACGTTTTACAGCCAAAGTATTTTTATCTGTGTTCCTTGCTATTCCCTTCTGCGAAATGAAGATCTTACCCACATGCTGAGATCTAATGAAGTCTAATTCATGATCCATTATATAAATATTGTTAATAGAGCAGTAAACAGTTCTGGGAGGGCTGAAATTTAGAGCCCTGAGAATAAATTAATTAACAAATGTTTTCCTTTTCTTCCCCAAATAAATGCATACATTTATTCTCTAATTTGGGTGCAAGAAAGTCATTTGAAGTTACTTAAAATGTAAACACTTACAAATAAGATTTTTACGTCTTAAAACTCACATTTATTTATTTGCACGCTTTTCTGCACACTTCTCTCTGAGCTCACCAGGTCTATCTGTCCTTGGTGTTTTTTCCAGTTAAGATCTGCAAGACTGATCTAGTTCAGTAACTTGATTCAGACAGCAGTCTTTTACCGGATAATATACTTGACTGCACCAGAGCAAATCTTGCGCTTGGGGAAAATGTTTTGAAATAAGCCATTCAATTTGTGTGGTGTGTGTGTTGGTTTTGTTTGTTTGTTTTTTTGCAGCCATTACCCATGTCTGTGGACGGTGAGCAACAGTGCTGTAAATGTTGCCAACTCAGGGAACGAGGTGAGCAGCAGCCCTTCAAGCATGTTCCTAAGGGGTAATGTCCCCTTACCTGCTGGATCTTCATCAGTCCAAATCCCTCTGCAGGGAACAGTCTCTGGCAGCATGGAAATGCAAGGGGAAACTGCTCTAGCCAGACTAGCCGACTCTGCGTGGACATCCTCGCACTCCTTTTAATGGACAGGCAGCTCACAAGGGAAGCTCAGCTGAACAGGACTGACACAAGCAGCAAAGGACCCCCTAAACTCACAGCTCAGAGTGGGGATGTATATGCAGAAAGCTGACTTCATCAAGCATCACTTTCCATAATGTACCTCTCAAGTGCCAGAGAAGCCAAGACGCATAATGCAAATGTTAGGGGAGCCAACTTATTAATGTAACCTTTCTGCATCATTCAGGATGATGACCAGAAAGAATCTCTATAGTTAGCTTTGCTTCTAAATCGCATCAAAAAAGGTCAGACGCATGCATCTCGATGAAGCAGACATGGCAGCTGGATATTTACATGTCTTTTTTTTATTTTTTATTTTTAAGAGTACTTTCTGTTTAACTAAAGGCCAAGCCCAGGGAAATTGTGAGCCAGTTCTCCCCGTAAGTAACTTGAATGGACAGCACTGCTTTAAAGACATGCAGAATGCAGAATTTGTCACACACAGGTATTTCCCAATACCTGAAATTAAACTCTTCAGGGGATGAAATTACAGTCTGCAACGCTCATGCCACCTGCATACCGTATTGTGTCGCCTTGCCTTCTGCAGCTCCTCTGTGCTCTTTGTGTGCTATATAACTGACACAGTCCAGCTGAGAAAGCCGGCTGCATTGTAGCCGCAGGTGAAGGGCATCTGGTATAGTGTTTAGGGTCTCATGTGAAGGTCTTGTAGTAAAACATTGAAACTTTCCCTTTCCACCTGAGTTATCTACGGGTGGAGGGAAAAGAATTACCAAAAAGATATTCAGCTTGCAGTTTCCACTTTGCTTCAGGTACAGAGTACAAATAAAATATAAATTAATGGTTTATTATGGTTCCAGTGCTTTTCCAAGACATAAACACACGCATCTAACAGCCTCTGAGGGGATTTTGAACAGCTTGGCCAGAAGCAAGGGGCCAGGACAGGAGTTTCTATTCCTCTATCCGTGCCTGGCTGTGTGATGTTGGGCATTCATCCGATTTCCTTTCCTGTGTGTATGTACAATCTCTAGCTTAGTGGAGGCAGATGCTATTTGGGCTATCTAACCACTACAGTAAGGCAAAACACAATCTTACCCTCCTGCAAAAGACATTCCCTGTCCTGTCGCTCACCTTCTCAGGCAAACCCCAGCAAGTTCTTTCACTGGCAAAAGCTGGCTTATGGGCTTGCTTCATACTGCTGCTAGTGCTTGGTGGAAGGAAGGAAGCAAGCAGGAGCAAACTTGAAATTACAAGCTGCAGCCCGTGCTGCTTCCCCTTTGTCTGGCTGAGCCCCTGCCCACAGGTCACTATGGTTGCAGCAAGGGTAATTCTCCCCCCCCACCCCTCTTTCCTCTCAGGTGAGGACTGAGGATCTAGGCCTTGCCCCAGCAAAAAAGAGACCCTCCCAGACAATGGCAGATGCTGTGTGTGTGAGTGTCGAAGGCAGCATGCAGAAGTGTGCCATAGTCTGATCCCTTGAAGGGGTTAAAAAAAAAAAAATTGCAAGCTAACTTATGTAGATATGGCCCTGTCTGTATAATGGCATGCTCCACAGCTATTCAGTTCTGTTTGAAAAGCCAGGAGTAGTGGTAGGGGCTGGAGAGAGAGCCCTCTATGAGGAAAGTCCCAGCATGGGTAGGCAAGAGGTTTCTCCAGACCTCCTCCAAGCTGGTGTTTCTGCACTGATGGTCCTGCTTCTGCCAGATATGGTGACATTCCTCTGTGACTTCCCCACTGACACTGTTGAGTATACACTTCATTGCATACATGTATCTATGCCTTTGTGCTGTGTGCTGGGTGCAAGAGCAGTATTTCATTTTGGGTAGGCATTAGGGGGGCAGCACCAAGGAGGAGCAGGTTTTCAGTCAGGCGGTCAAATGTATTTCTATTTGGTGAACTCACTGAGCTGCTCTTCCATATCTCGCTGCCCGGGCCCTGAAGCATCCCCTTGCGGCTGGTGCTCTGAGTGTCAAGGCAGCGCTGTCGTTTCCCCCACCTGCCCTCTTAGCTTTGTTGCAGGCAAGACGAGGCGCCAGGATGCACTTGGGGCAGGGGAATGCTGTTAGTTTTACTGGTGCGTGCTGCTAGCACCTAGAGCAGAGTCAGGAAGTTGTTTCAGATGTGCGGCGCTTGGGCAGATGGGAGCTAATAGCAGAGGGTGAAAAGCTCCATGGCCTGCTATCAAGCTAATCGTTGCCAGTTCTGACTTTAAATCTTCCTTTCCAAACCCTGTCAAAAGCTCAGTGACAAGTTTCTCCATGTTACCTGTCTCTATTTCCCTCAAAAATCGCTCTGCTTTACAGATGAGGTTTATTAACTAACTTATGCTACCCTCTTCTGGCTGCTCAGCTCTCCACACGCACCACAAATTACTGCTGAGTCTACATAAGATGACTATAGACGCTAAAGAAGGCAAACGATGACTTTTTAGCATTCTAGGATTTGCTATGCTTTCCTCACGGATGACGAGTCAGATAATTTCTTAGTTTTCCTATGGACTGCATTTCTGTAATGAAAGGGTGATCTTAAGAAATTATGCAAACTGCATTTTTATTTCACAAATAAAACAAGCTAGGAGAGAATCCAGGTAGCTTTCCTGATAGTTCGGTAGGATTGTGAGGATTAAAAAAGGATCAAAATGAACAGGACGGGCCATTTTTCTCTCTTATCACTGTAAAAGTAGTCATGAGTCACGCCATAGGAGGCAAAAATTTCTGAGATCTTGGGAGCAAGCTTAGTTTTTGTCATTTTGTCAGAGTATCTCATTTAGCCAAAGCCTGGGGAAGTGACACGGCGAGATAAAAATTCCCCTGGGCTTGCTCACTACCTGAACCTCTAGTGCTTGGCCGTCAGCTTTGGGGATTGCTCTCTAGCTTGGCCAGGTCGCTTCTGAGGAGCCGCAGGGCCACCGGAGCGAGCTATAGCCCCTTGTTCGTTAGAAAAAAAACGCTACTTTAAGTTTGCAGACCCTCCCGCCCTGGCGCAGCAGAGTTCCCTGCACCGTGGTGGCGATGCGGCACGGTGCTCGCTGCAGCCTGCTTCCTCGGGAGGCCATTTCCTCCAGCTGTATATAACCCTTCCTCCCATGACAAACAGTGTTTTAGAGCTGGATTTGCCCCCTTCGTGCCCTCACTCCCCTCATGGGTTTGTGCTTGCCATTAAAGCCATACAGTAATCATTTCTGCCTGTGTATTTCACCAGTTGCTATCAACAATAGCTGAAACCGCAGCAAGGCAAGAAAACAAAAAGCCAGTTTTAATATATTTTGGCAATACCGTATGTGTAGTCACTTCTTGATTTTGTGCAAGAGAAATAGATCCACAGACTGGAAAAGCTGGAGCTGCTCTCAGGTCTCTGCGGTAAATATATTAACCTGGCATTAACATCAGTTCATATTTTTTAAATTACCTGGATTATGCTGAGTCTCTTGGACCATGAAATACAGTAGGTTTTATTGTCACTGAGCAAGAAGGCTGGAGGCATGGGCTGCAAGGGAGCCATACCTTCCCTGTATCGATCACGTTTCTAATCGGGACAACTAGAGGGCAGGGATTCAGTGGCATGCACCTGTAGGGGTCTTCATGTAGTTAGGCAAAGAAACCATTGGTTTTACCTTTCTGCACTAATACTGTATACAGCTAATAAATGCAAGGCTGCAATGTGGTTTGTGAGACATCGCATTTGACCCAACCCAGAAAAAAAAAAAACAAAAGGAGAAAATCAAATGGGTAAAA